AATTAAAACCACTAATAGGACTACAACGAGGCGTTTGCGTATGGCCTATTATATATACTATATACGCCCACGAACAGCTTAAGGTTGAAAGACGCGCATTGCTTATTGTTGTAAAAATGGTCAATACACTCATTGTTAAAACCTAGTCTGAAGTGGTCATGAAAAACCACGTTTTAGTGCTGAGTGGAAAGTACACAAAACGCGCTATGAACAAATTTAAAACAGAACTACCGGAAACACGTAACACCTTCAAAGCAAGCATATGGTCAAGTTAGGGGCCATAACTTTACGTGAATGAAGCGCGTAGAATGTTCTTTTCGTTCTGAGTGTGGTACGGACTCATGCAGTCGAAAATAAGTGTGCGACAGTCTGCGCAAGTCGCGGTTGCCGCTCACGCCAGGCGACGAACAGAAGTTATATTTCCCCGAGGGGCGTCCGCCGCCTCGGGTTAGCATCGCTTCGCCATCAACGCTGCTACCTCCGACGCGCAACCACCTTCTTCCATTTTCCTCATTGCTTAGGGTTGGATTCCGCTAGCAAATGCCAGTTCTCCATCTCCGCCATGAATTGGTCCGACATAACAGCCACCAGCAATGCCACTCACTCGTCGGCACCACGAACGTCCGTCCGATTTCGACTTGCCATGCCCCCTACTCTTTCAGCTTACCACCGGCGTGCCGCCGCAACTGTGCAGTAGCCCAATGGTTCGTTCTGCAGCAAGGAAAGACCGTCCGTCGTAAGGTCCTTGCTACTAGCGGCTTCCTTTTATTTGGGGCGCTCGTTCATGAATAATTCGCGGCTCTCTTCTGTTCCTTGGCCCTCTGTGTTCGCCTTTCGCCCGTGTTCGACTTTCCATCACATCGGCCTTCTTCTCATCCTCTTGCGTCCTTTCAATTGGCCACAGCCCGCATTGGCAATTCGATTCAAGCGACCCAGAACGCAAGCAAGACGAGCCTTCACACAGAGCCCAGAGGGACATCCGATGGATTCAGTCGAGACACGAGATCAGTCTGTTCGACACAGAACTTAAAAAGGAAGCCACGCTATGCGCCCGAAAAGAGAAAGAGAGAGGAAATGTTTGGAGCATCTGCTTTGAATCAAGGAATCTGTCTGTCTGCCGTTTTCATACTAGCAGTTGATAGGATCGGCCAGCGTACATATGTAGCACTCCAAGCGATCGAGATTTTGTTAAAAAGAACTAAGTGTCATCCAGTCCTCAATAAACCAATTGGTGGATCTAATATTTATTTGACTGATTTTTATCTAAACATTAGTTAATGTACGCTGTAGGCCACGGACACTACACTTGCGTGTTCTATTTTTAATTATACATGCTGTATAGCTTATGTCCATGGCTGGACTTGGATTAGCGACCCCTGGTCTTCTCAAAGCCTAGATTTAGCCCCCAAGCCAACCTGCCACTAAACTTGTATTTCCTTTGTTTTTTTAGTACACCTCGAAAACGTTTATTCATTTATTTGGCTAAATACAAATAGAATTTATACGCTTCGTTTAGACTTTTTAAGTCATTGAAACCGGATTTGTGAAGAAACGGGAAGCCTCGACAGAACAACAAGTTTCTCAGTTTAGGTATTTCTTTTGATCTTCCCTCCTGATATATTCTGTCGGAAAACATTAATACGTTCTTTGTATCTATTTTACTTGCGACTTCTTAAGCGCATGAAAAATATCTGTAAAAACCGCACCAGCCGAAATCAGGAAAAAGCTATAGCTTTTTCTCGGAGATTATAATAATCTACATGAACTGTATTACCATTTTAAACGAGTCTAGGTGCGCCTTAAACGGTGAAGAACCTGTCTGACGCTTACGTATCCGTGAGGAATCATTCACAAAGGACTAAATGCCACTGTGTATGCGTTATATTTTATCAATGTATGTAGTTATATATCCAGTTGACTTCTGTGCGAATGCTCACAATAATAATAGCGTAGCTGCAGGAATCATTCAGAAGCTCTGAATGAATTCGGGACCTACGACTTACGAATTTTGGATTGCCGTTCAGTTTTGATATGTATATTGTTGGTTACCTCATCCAGGGTAACCTTATTTCTGTTTGAGAGAAATTCAATATGTTTCCGAAGATGAAGAGGCAGCGAATTGGATTTACCTTGGACAAATGTTGTCACAAACGCTAAATAGACTTTGCATCAAAATAAAGATCGATGCTTATGAGGGTAGGCACATTTAGGAAAGCAGAAATCTTATTAAACGCGATAGTGGTCCAATTTGTTAGCTCCTTTTGTCACCATCCCTATCAAGCAGAATCTACTAGGAAATACCCGCCAGTGAAAGGTTCTGGTTACGTTGGGACTTGACATCTGTGCTGCTTGGTCCGATTCGTCCTGCGCCTGCCGTCAGGCAGCTCTACCTAAGTCCAATACTTATTCTTTACCTTTTCTCCTTTGCTTGTTCTCAAGGAGCCATTTTCGATCTACTGGATCTTCCTGGAGTGTTTTCACTCTTTTCCTGTATTTCCCTTGACCAGTCATTTTATCGCCTCCAGTCGGTGGAGATTACGACCGAACACCACATAACATAGTAGCTAGTTGCCTTTAGACGACATCCCGGTAGCTGTGTAACGGCAAGTGTGACTTTGGGGTAGTATGATTGGCCCGTTTCTCCCGATTGTTCCCCAGGGACGAGTGATGGGCTAACAAGAGAAAAGACGTTTGAGGAAAAGAGCAAAGGGGATGGGCTAGGACGACAAGGAGGGGGAGGAGGAGGTGGTTCTGGTGAAGGCGTCCCCTCGCCTGCATAGCTGGGTGGGTGGATAGCTGCTTGTGCTGAATTGGCTTAGGATCTTCTAATACTATCCAGAGACAACGACAAGCAAAGGAAACCAATTCACAAAGATGGATGGCCGCAGTAGCAATAATAGTCAACCCAGCAACCGATGATGACGTCCGATGATTATAATCATCGGAGCTGTCGCCGGCTTCGAAGTTTCGTTTGTTCGCACCTGCCGGCGATAATACATCCAGCTTCAACCCCGACTCCAATTCACCATATATTAACGAGCCTTTAGCCTAGACGTTCATAGCCAAAAAGAGAAGTTTGCTTGCAGTAGCCACAAGAAAAAACTTTTACTTGCGCACCGCGCAAGCTAACATTTACTTGCTGCTCGCAGGTATCGTCCGCGAAGCACAAGTTCAACTTACGTCTAATATTTTGTATTATTGTATAAAGGTATTCGTTGTCAAATTCGTAATTACTATAATCTCATGATCGTTCTTAGTAACTATTTTACAGTCTACGTAACCATCGCTAACAATGCAGCAGCTGTTCAATTTTTTATATAAAAAAATAAAAGTTATGGCAGTTAAGTAGAAAGTCAGTACATCTCCGTATGATGTCTGCACGTAGTGCCTATATTCTAAAACATTCGTACGTACAGCATATTCTACTTCTGTCGTTTCAGCTTGGCTTCAGCCGCGTACTGCGCTATCTGACTATAGGACTAAGGTCGCCTTAACATAACAACCGATATAATTGGCGTGAGTGTCACCATTTATCCGCTCGTGTTGCTGTGTAGACAGCGCCATATGTAGCGCTCCCTTTTACCGCTCGTGGGAGGGAGTCGAGTGGCGTTCTTGTCCCAGCGAACATCACTTACGCTGAATCACACACCGCAATCATGCGCAACCGTGCACTACCTCTGGCGCTAATTAATGTAAGAAAAGGGGAAGCAGGGCCTCAGCTAGCGAGCGTAAGGTAGAGGCTAGCTCGAGTTGCCCTGATAATTAGCAACCGCTAACTCTGCTGGGCGGCTACGGCACAGAGGATGCCAATGGAATTGTCGAGTGTGATTGTCAAGTCAGATATATGCGACAATAGGAAACTGATAAGAACGACACCAGAGACTACGCACGAAAATTGCCGATCAAGTGAGAAGCGAGGGAGATCATAAAAAATTACAGTGCTATGAAAGGCTAAGCGAGCAAGCTGGAAGCTTTGAGCGTCCAAGGACAAATCATATAGTAGAACGGAATTGCAACATAATAACAAAAAATAGGAAAAAAAACAGAGCTCAGTATAACCGAAACGGGAGAACTGGGGTCTGTTCTAGCTCGCTGACGGAACTTGTTAGGATGAACGATAAGCGACTGTACGGCAAACGCGGTGCTTAGGAGCGCAAAGGAAAACGCTCGATATGGAAAGGATACACATTCTACCGGGCTCACTGGCTTCATTATTCTCTCAGGCTCCATCTTAGTTTTCATCTTTTAGAGTAACCTTGGTAAGGATTAGGCCACTGTGATGACGACGACGACGACGGTGGGGATTGCTACTGCTGCCATAGCCGAAGTATTTGACCCTCATTCTGAGTCTTCTGCAGACACTTGAGTCGTGCCGAGTCTTATCAAGATGAATCTCGGGAGAAGGCGATAACTCTAAGACAACGAACACAGGGGAAAGGAAAAGCCCAACTTGAAGCAAGCACGTCTCCTCAGATATCTTTACAAATGGTTTCCGAGATTACTATCCCACTCTGCAATGATAGAAACGACACATTGTTTTGTAGGCAACACAAGCGTATGCTTTAGTACTACTATTCGTTATACACATTCAACTGGTCTTCCGTTCTAGCCAGTGCACCAGTTGCGAAGCGTTAATGCCTGCGACATATCCAGAAGGTAACGTAGAGCGAACCCCTTCGCAGAACGCACCTACATTGCAAAATTGTCCCAAAGATGTAGCAAATGTGTGCCTCTTTCAGTGAAAAAATCGAGCAATACTTAGTCAAAACAGCGAGATATTTCCAGGAATGATTTCTCTAAATGCTTGTTTCTGTGAATAGAGGCTGAGGCATTCATTTAAAAGTGGCAATGCCGTGACATCGTGTGTGTGGTAACTATCTGTGATTCAATAATAACATCTTCTCTCCACTTCGTACTTCTGTCCACCTACCTTACCTATTGCCTACCTTTTTTACTCGCTCCGTTTCCTGTCTAAAAGTAAGAGTTGAAAATAAACTTACAGTTCGTGTTGAGAAGGCCATTGTTTAACCGAAGGCCCGATGGTCGAGTTCCTGCAACGAATACAAGCACATGAAATGTCAGTACGGTACATGAGACTTCTTCCTTCTTGAAGCTCTCAGCAGGTTACAATGGCCCCTGTCGTAATCTGAGGAGTTCACTAACCCACTCAAGGGCTGCAGCCCCCCCCCCCCCAAACTGTCTATCGCAAAGAACGTGACTTGCAGTCAGGATTTTTAATATTTTTACCCACAACCAGCCGTTTATCCAGCAAGGAGGATAACCGCACAGTGTTATTTTTAGAATGTAAGTTTGTCGAAGAGTAATCTAATTTTTTTTATTAGTCTTTATGTCTATTAAAAAATTCCCTACAATCTCCTTATAGCAACATTTTTTTATTTATTATTATTGTAATTATCATACCGTTGTCATAGCGCTTAAAATATGTTACGATGATGCCTAGCTAGCGACTTTATTTAATTGTCGTAAGTTATTTTGCTTCTGGGTATATATATATATATATTATATATATATATATATAAGACTAATGAAAACTGTTTCAAATTATTGAAATTTCAAATACGCCCCCTTAAGTCAGTTACGGTTTTTGAATGTACAAAACACTATTTTAGAACATTTCCATTTGTGTGTTCGGCTCAAATACAGCGAAACGTCAGCTTTGAGTCGGAGAGGCCGGATTCTAACCTTTTCTTTCTCATTGTCTTCTGGAGATAAGTGACAGATCCCAGACTCCGATGTCGGCAGGTCGGTCTATGTGAGCTGGGATTTTACAACGGGGTAACGGCCCCCGATGTTCACGACGATCAACCCCCTGACGGCGAGATAGTGAGACGAGAACTGGGAAGGCTCACAGCAAGAGCTGAGGTAAGAGGTGGATAATGACTAATGCTTGGATGGCGTGATATCCGTAAACCCATGCCCGTTGCAAGGCCCTTCTTCTCGCTTGACGGCGATTTGGGTCCGGGTATTCGTCAGTCGTACAGAAGCTCGAACTACTCATACGTAGGTAGGCACCACTTGAGATGATGGCCTCCATAGTAAAGCAAAAATAGGACAATCTATCCACCCCATTAGAACAAAAAAGCCCGTCAAAAAACGAGGCGCAGGAGACTGGTTTTTCGAACTGTTCTTGTCGAGACCGAAATCAATCCAGGCTGTATTGTGAATGTTAGCTGCAAATCCATTACTCGAAATCATTCGGGGTGGTTTCTAGTGATTTCCCAATTCTAACCCTCAAAACAGCGCTACAGCTAACCTATTTAGTACTCTTTTTCATGGCCTAATACCTAGTTCTATAGAAGCGGTCACAACGAGGGCAGCCAAAAGGAAACTGTGCATGTCTACGTATTTAGTCGAGTAGCTTCATATAGTGCATTATTATATTTCCTCTATATTCAGATGGTACGAATCAGTGTCACTGTTTGTTCCGTACCTCTGCTTGTTCGTTCACTCGGACGGTTATTTAGCTTGACTGAAATTCGAACGGGGCATGGGGTGAGACATCAAGTTAGAGCTGGGTAGATTGAGAGAGTAAAATGCAGTTCCTGCGTTTTATAAAACATCATCTGCATAATATGTACCGTTGCCTGTTGTGCCAAATTGGTGTAAAATTAGGCATCTCTGCCTGCGATAATACTGTCTTTAGCTTTACGAAGAGAAGTACCGCATGCACAACGTTCCTGTACAGGTCTTTTTTATGTGATTACTACCGTACCAACAAAGCATGCACCAGATTCAACGAGAGACATGGACTTGCTTGGTCGAAATTAGATAAACATGTGGCAACTTTATGCGATGGTGAGCCGATTTAATAAATGTAGGGAATCGCATGTAGGTACATACATATAACGCTATAGCGGGATTGTAGGAAAGGTCAAACTCGAGCAGTGGCAGAACTTAAACAGGTGAAATCTAAGCACCATTGGACATAACAGACGAAACAGAACAAAAGAGAGTTTAGCTTTTCAGTGCTCTCCGGACCAACGCTAGAGCCGCACGTCTGAAGTGGCCGCGTTGCCTCTACCCCTAGACTTACTGTAATTATATTATAGATAATAAATATAGTTGATTATATTCGAATATATATGAAGCACATTTCTCTTACGCCACCGCAATGCCCAGCGTGATTGCCTAACACATCAATAGTTCTCAGAACGTAGTATACCGTCAACGTATCTTGAAGTCAGGTAAATGCGTTCCTTATACCCACCACTGATAAACCTGAATTATTGCCTTGCTCAAATCAAAATAGGGTAAAACATATTTGGATATGTTGCGTTTTGTTCTCGCACCTTTTTCCTAATTTGATAAATATAGCCGCACTTGTAGGATTGGATAATTTATTATATATGATAAAATAAAAATTCTTTGCATGGTGCATGTACATATAGTGTGTAACAAAAGGAGCCGAACAACTTCGTCCAGAACAGGGGCGCGTCAACACAACAGTGACGGTAGCACGTAGACCTTAAAAAGCAAGTCTGCCTGTAGTTTCAACGATATATATACTCAAAGTTACAATTACTGCGAATAGTATTATTGACAAATCAAATAAGCGTCTCCTTAGAAAGATCTGCAGAAAGCAGCTCTTCTCCTAGTTTGCATTTCCTATTAGTCGAAGAATAATAAACGTGAAGCTTTTGTTTGCCATCACTTGCCCAGAGTAAAGAAGGTTCAGGTGGCCACACACACATCCCTATATGTGCGGCAATGTGCGCCCACTCTCTGGGCTACGAATGTGACTGACAGTTTGTATGTCCCTAGGCCAATATCTAGGACCGGTCTATGCCTGCTCTTTGCTGGTGGTCCGTAGCGCATAAGCATGCTATAAAGAAACTGTATTCGGTGTTGCACAAAATGGCCTGTTTCCCAGCCAACGCCCTCTGCTAGCTGCGAATGGCGGCCAGCCATATAAAGAGATGACAGTTCAGAAGCCTGCTATTCAATTTACATGTCGCTATGCGATCACCGTTCCCGACTCGTTGAGCTTCATTCGTTCTATCCGCTGTTACAATTTACATTGGCACTGGGCAAGCACGTGTGGCTCGGAACTATGAAGTTCAATCGGCCAGTAGCCTACCCAGCTGAAATTCAGAATAGAAGGGCGACCAGATACGCATCCGTTATCAAGCAGATGTATTTCTCTTCCTAATTGCCTATTTTTATAACTCTGCTGTCAACAATAGCAATGATTTTTTTGGCGCCGACTATTTTTGCTCAGAAAAAAGGATACAAGGCATTAAACGGTTTCTGCTTTGCGACGACGCACGTTACTTATAAAGGTGATGTAATTACAGTATTTTAGGCGCATTCAGTTAACTTGTGATGTAACTTACTCTGTTAAGTTTAGCTCCTAACTATAATAAAGGCATTTGGACATTCCAAATAATCTCTCCTTTTCCAATGTACACAGTACAGGTTTCATTAAGCGCGAAAAACGTTCGAAAGTGCGTGCCGGATAATAACGATCAACATTATCGGACGTCACGGATGCGTCGATGTTATATATCTCGTATGTGCTGCTAATCAAATTATCATAGTTAAGTATTTCTGCCTGTCGTGTTTTGTTTACGCTTATACAACGACGGACCTATTTACACAGGAATACATACAGATATGTACGTAACCCTATGTATCACATGGTTATGTGTAAACATGTGTACGTAGCGCTTATTATCGAATGATCCGGCTCAACAGTGATCACCAATACCCGGGCTGTAAGAGGGTTGGTCGCTTCGAGGAAACCAAATGTGCACAGTTTAGAACCAATTTATATTGTATGTAATCCGGGTTAGCGAAGTAGACGGACATTTAACTGACAGAATTAGAATATATAAGAAGTTAGTTAATATATCAATAATTATTATTATTATTATTAGCATCCTAGAACGCATTGCAGTCGGGTAACATTTACAAAACAGTTGCTGCTCGATAGTTTTCGAGCAACAATCATCGGCAGTCTTTGTTTGTGCCCAGAATCTCCGTTGCCCTTCAATGGGCCTAAATAAAGAGAGGTCTTTCATGAAAAACTGCAAGCAGGATATGGGCCTTTTTATCGGGTCTGGGCATTTTTCATTGTTCGTCTATGCAGGCGACTCGTTACTCTGTGAACAATACGACTCTATGTACTGCCTCATCACAAACACGTTTAGCTAACCTAAGATAACGTACTCAAAAACACAGTTTCTCATGTCCTAGCCTGCCGCTCTTGGAGTGTTTCCGTCCGGCCGATGCGAGGTAGTGGCCCGCGAGTGGGCCAAGATTATACAGCAATCTACTGTCTGCTAGGAAACCCCATTGGCCCGACCACAACCTCAACCGTCAGGCTATGGTTACAGATGCCTTATAATAGGAGGTTCCCTGGCCTGCTAGTGGGAAGCGGCGTTCCTCGTAGAGTTGGCCGACCACATCCCACCGGCGCTCTGGGCCTCCGTGTACGTTGCCTATTCGCCGGTTGTCCACCTAAATACCTCGGATCGGCACGCCCTGTCTTTTCGACTCTGCTATCCAATTGTCACTACAACATTACAATGGTCCGCAGGAAACGGGAAAATCGACCACTTGAGACGGTGCCACTATCATCAATAGTATCACAGCTACTGCCACCATTATTGTGGGGCGTCCACGATAGCAGCATTTGCTGCCCCTGCCGCTGCTGCTGTTCAAAGGACTATCTCGACATTGATTGTTGGCTAAACCTATTCTCTATTCTGCGAGGCTGCCTCCACACAACAGGATAGATTCAAAGCGTCGTGAATTCCATAAGTAGCATTTTCGTTTCTCGGGCCTTTGGCAGCATGTAGTACGTCGCGTTTGGCCAATAGATATTGATTGTTTGAGCAAAGCCATTCAACATTTGGGTCGATAAAAGTGACGGCTGTAACGTAAAAACAAGTTAAATCGGAGAAAATCTATTTGCTAGTTCGTGTCTCTCTGCATGTGCATACTGTATAGTCTTGACACATGCTTTTGATATTGGCAATGCTGCAATCAAACATAGCAAGCGTCATATTAAAAGTTTCAGCTATTGCTC